TAATAATTATTATATTATTAGAATTAATATTAATTTAACAGATTTTTTATTAAATAATTAATTAATGTTAAATTTTTAAAAGAAAATATTAAAAATTTTTAATTTTACTTTTAATTTTTCAAAAAATTAGATTTACTGAACCTAATTTGAAACTCATGTAGATGGGTTATACCCCTTTTAATTTGAAATCTAAAATGACCCAATCTAATAAATCCAAAATTCAAATGATGCACCCTCCAATTTAATATACTATATAATATATTTATTAAAAAATTATTATTTTTTAATAAAAATTAAAAATAAATAAATTTATAAATACTACCATGCAAACATGTAAGAACAGGCTCAATTAGTGAAATCAAAGACATCTTAAAATTGCCAACCATTTAGCACCTAACTAGGTTTGAAATATGTGTCTCCTTTGATAAAAATAAGAGTTATTGAGTTTAAGTTGGATGACATATAAATTAAGAGTGAAAATAATTATTTTTTATTATATAATATAAAATTAAAGAAAAAAATTATGCTTTACATTAAAAATATAATATATCCTATAAATTTATTTAAACATTTTTAATAAAATAATATAAAAAATAATTTTATTAAAAATATTTAAATTAATTCATAGAACAAATCCATTTTTAGCAAACAGTCTAAAACACCTTCTTGAAAAAAAGAAAAAGACTTTTACCCAAAGAAAGGTAAAATGTTAATTTTGGTCTCTCAAGTTTATAAAATTATACTATTTTGGTCCTTCAACTATTTTTTGCACTTTTTTCATCCCTCAAGTCTAATAACTGCATAATTTTAATCATTCCATCAATTAAACATAATGTGGTTGTTAAATAATACCATGTGACATTTTCTTTTAATTATTTTGATGACGTGGCAATATCATATCTTATATTTATATTACATAGATAAATAAAAATGCCACATCAAATCAATTTTTATATTTTAATAAAAAAAACAAACAAAATTACCTTATTACCCTCACCCTCTCAATCCATCTTCTTCCCCTTCTTTCTTTCTCTTTCTTTCTTTCCTACCCATCGAACACAAATAAAACCCAATAGTTGGGTTGGACAAAACCTAGCTGTGCTGGGTATTGACGAACTCAACACAGCTCTACTGGGTTTGTCGAAACCCAACACTTCGTTGGAACTTAGATCTGTTGGGTTTCGTCGAACCCAGCTGTTGGGTTTAGAGTTAGGTTCTGTTAATTTTCATTCTTCTTTAGAGTCGGGTTTGTCAAGTTCATCATGTTTTTTCATTCTTCTTTTGATTCTTGTTCTTAGTTCTTGATAAATTTGGGAGAGCATTCTAGGATTCATACACATTTTACCCCTTTGCAAGAAATGTGAGACCCATTTAAGGGGTTTTGACATGTTTGATTTGCGTGAACATGACATGGTATAATATTTTGTCCGTAATGGCATCTTTTTAGGTTGTCTTCTCCATGTCATAAAAAAATTATAAAAAAAATCACGTGGATAGAGTTAACGGTTCAAATTGACAAAATGAC